TCAGGTCAGAGGAAAAAGTTGCAAGAAAGATACTGGATAACTTGATTAGATCATCCACCAGTGTATCTGATCCAACTCATGGTTTAGATTCCAGGACAGCTGAAAGTATTTCCGAGTCCTGGACCTCGCATCATGATGAACATAAGGAACCTCCCTTGCCTATAAAGAAAGCTGGAATACTTGGAAACAAAGTTGGCAAAGGATCAGAAGCGGAAGTTCAAGAACTTGGGAAAAGAGACAAGGATTTGGATAGAATAATTTTTATAAGCAGCCTTCCCTTTGAAATTGATAGTGAGGAGGTAAAAGAGAGATTCTCTTCCTTTGGAAAGGTGCAATCATTTTTTCCTGTCCTCCACAAACTTACCATGTATGTGAAGATCTATATTTCTGATTTTGTTGTTTATGTTTTACCAGTGTATTTAATAACTAAGAAATGTGTATGTTTCTACATGAGTTATATGGAACACCCAATCCTATATATTTTATATAGTTTATATGTCATGGTTGCTTCTTATATGACTCATATCTAACACCTGATGGCTTTATTTTTTAGAGTTAATATGGTCATGGTTGTTCCTGCAGCTGACCCAGAGGAACTGCCTTTTCAACATTTGATAGCCCCGCTGTGGCAGATGCCGCGATTTCTGCAGCAAATGCTGCACCTGGTTTAGGCATCATTATGAAGGGAAGACCACTTAAAAGTTTTGAAAGTTATAGACAAGGAATCAGTTCACAAGAAAGAACTTCAAAATTTAAAGAATGAGGCTCTTGACAGACATAATTTATATCTAGCAAAGGTATGGTTGTTTTTTGAGTTAATTTGCTTCATGACTTTTAATGGATATATTACTGTAAGTTAATCTGCTTGTTCTTGAAGCAGGAAGGTGAGATTCTTGCTGGAATACCAGCTGCTGAAGGTGAATCAGAGAGTGATATGAAAAAGCATGAGACGTAAGTCGGTATCCTCAGCTCTTAATTCATGATGATTATTCTGCCAATGGTTGGGTAATTGGATTACATGGCAATTTCTGTTTAGTGTCTGATTTTACTTATTGCCTCTGGTGGTTCTCGTCAGATATATCGTGTACCATAACTCTTAACTGTCAGTTTGCCATTGCAGTAAAAATCTTCTTACTGTATGTTTATTTTTTTGGGGTAAAACTGATATGACATATTTACTGGCAGACTTAATTTTATAGTTCAAGTATCTCGCATTAAAACATTAACCCATGTGAAACAACTAAACATAAAAAAAAGAGATGATTGGTGTCTTCTACACTATTAGTTCGGAGACATATCATAGATATATGCTACATTTGTTTTAACTCTAGTGACATTGTTTGCAGGTATCTTATGGTGGATTTCGTAGTTTAATGGGCTTTAACTTTGGAATAGTTTCACAAAGCACATTTTTGGCTTTCTCTTCATGCACATCAGTGTTTATGCACCCTGTTGGTACAGCCATATCTTTCTTGATCATTGTTTAATTATTAATTTAGACTTTTGTTCTATATCATGTAACACAGATTTTTGTGACAACTAATTTTTGACAAGGTTAAAGTTAGTCCTACAGAAATTTTGTTTTTAAAACAATCGTTCATTCAGGTTGATGAAGAAGAAGGCAGAAATGCTGCAATCTCCAAAATTCCATGTATCAAGAACTAGATTAATTATCTACAATTTGCCAAAGACTATGACTACAAAGAAGTGAGAAAACTGTGTGTAAATGCTGTTGTTTCCCTTGCTTCCAAGCTGAAACCTGTCATTCAAAAGGTTGGGTTTTATTTCTTACTGAGCTTTCAGTTTTTTGGTATGTTATATTACTTTATTAACCTTAATACTGTTTGACCTGGTAAAGCTTATGAAGGATGTGAAGAAAGGAAAAGTTTTTATAAAGAAACATTCACATGGTGTAGGTTTTGTTGATTTCAAAGAACATGAGCATGTACTTGTGGCCCTAAGGGTTCTGAATAACAATCTTGGTAAGATATGATATGGTGTACACTTTTTTCTTTTAATATGATGGTGTATTGTACAGGTTGCATAAATGGCTTACTGAATAGCAAAATTATGATTTTTTTGGTTAAATGTATATAGACAGTTGAAATGTTATCGGGTTAAGGTCCATTTTAGCCCTTGTGATTTTGGTCATGGACCTCTTAAGCCCTTATAATTTTCTTGTATCTAAAATAACTCTTATATTTTCAAAAACATAGCATATGAGTCTTTCCCGTCAAGTCTGAGTTAACCGATGTTAGAGTCTGCTTACGTGGCATGCTGACTTATAATAAATCATTAATTTTACATTATTGTTTGGTGGAGACAACATGACCCATATGGTATGAGAAAGTTTGGGTATGATTGTCATCTCATGCTGGATATCCTTCCACAAGTGTTCAACATCTGCAACATGACTTTCTTTATATCATTGTTTGGCGTTGTGCCTTCAGTAATTTGTCATATAACGTATGTGTTACTTGGAGTGAACAATTTAGTAGAGCTGACTGGTTGATGCAATGCATGATGAGCAATGAATACTCCCAAGTTTCAAGACAATAAATTCGAAATTCAACCCTATCAGACTTCACGAAAATGGTTTTTGTCTTAAGATAAATATGAAAATTCAAAGCCACCAAAGTACAATGCATCTTGAATTTAATATATATTGTAATTTGTGCTTGACTTTCAGTAAATTGTGACTCATTATCTAGGTGATTGAGGGATTCAATGTACAAGGGATCTAGGGGAAGGAAGGAAGATTGGTGGGTTATTCTAGTTTTTGAAACCTTATCAAACTTTTGTATTTTGACTCATTATCTAGCACTTTGTATCTCTTTTAAGTAGAGAGAGTTCTCTTTATCCTCCCATATCTCACTTCTTTTCTCACCCTCTCCTCTGTTCCGTTTTGTTTTACATGACTGGTTGGCTGTTTGAACAGCTGTTGTTTGTCTTCATCGATATCTCATTAAATTTTAATGGCTCATACTTGTCACATGAATCCATCCTCTAATTTTAGTGTGTGAACAATAATTTTTGGATCAAAACTATGAAGCTGTGAGAACATCTTTGCACATTCATCTTATTCTATATTTTACATATATGTTTCCTTTCACTACAATTTTTCCCTGCTTTTTGTTTGATCACTGCCACATTCCTAGGTTTAATGATTTGTAGATAGTTCTGCTATTTTGCTTCTTTAATTTTCTTTTTTAGTTCTAATTTTTCATAAAGTTATGATCACTGCCACATTTTTAGTTCTATCTTTTCATTTTTAGGTACATATGATCACTGCCACATTTTTAATTCTCTTTATCCATGTGGACTTCAATTCTTCTTCTTTGAAGTTCAGTAGGCCTGCACGAATCACATTGCTAATATTTGGAGCATGACTCTATATATGTTAGAATTATGGAATTACAAGTGTTTTGTGTTTGATTAATGATGCATGTATATTTACATGTATATCTATCAACATTTACATTTGTCTTGTGATATCAATTATAATGAGTAGTACTACCTGGTACAGATGTTGGTTTGGTATGTGAAGAGAGCAAAGCAGACAAAGCAGACCACTGCGAGCTGTTCTTAGGTTCAAAAAAACCACTTGACCATATTTCGGCGTTTTATGCAGATTCTATTTAGTTTCAGTATCTTTAGGTTTGAACATCAGTCACTGTACTAACTTCATTTGTTTTTCGTTTGTTCAGAAACTTTTGGTCCTGATCATGGCCCCATTGTAGAGTTTGCTTTTGACAGCATTCAGAAACTACAACAGAAAGCTAAATTGGATTCTATAAAGGAGAACAATTGTAAGTCAGAAGATGGAAAAAGAAATTTGCAACAAAGGTTTCTGACTCAAACCACTGAGACAGACTGAGATAAAGTGGGTGCGGGTGAGAAGTAAAGGCATGGAAAAGTAAGCAGAATAAGAAATAGAAGAAGGCTGCAAAAAGAGGAAATACTGATTCACCCTCTATTTCTAAGCATATGAAGTCAGAGTCAGAGTCGAATTTGATGCAAGTAGGCACACATGCTAAAGAAAAGCAACTAAATAAGAAGAACCAGGTATGATTAGCATAACAACACTTCTTCAAGTTTTGTAGGCAATCGAAAGATAATGATATGACCATTGCAGATTGAAAAGCCAATTGACAAGACAACAGTAACAAATTCCTCAGAAAAGGAAGAGAAACACCAAACCTGATGGTGGTCCAAAACAACAGAAGCCAGCTAGAAAAGCAAAGAGGAGAACGGACTGGTCAGGGGAGATAAATTGGACATGCTAATCCAGCTTTCACACCATGATTCAAACCAAACGAAAGATGCTACAAGTTCTGGTCATAAAGTCAGAAGATGGTTTGAGTCAGCTTCCTAACGACAGCTCGGATCAGATTTTTCTTCTCTTGCAATATAAAGCTTTGACCTCAGGGCTTATCCCAAGGTTGAGATGGATGCATCCCCGCACTCAACTTTTGCGTCGGACCAAATGCAACCCATTAGCGGTGTTTTAATTCGGATTTTTAATATTGGGGTTGGAAGTTGTACACTGAAGTTTCTTGAGAATTTACTTCCTGAAATTATATGCATTTTTGCTGCTTTGAGAAGTACCATATGCTGTATTGTTCTTCGAAGAGGTGTCTTGTCATGTTGGAAAATGTTGTTGTTTCCTTCTGCTACATATGCGGTGGGTCCCTCTGAACAGAGAAATGAGACCGAAACTTTCTTTGCTCGGTGTAAATGTATCAAATTCTTTTATAGATGACGCGTTGTCTGATGTCACTGGCGATCCAGTTAGGGTGGGGCGGTCAGCCGGCGACGGTTCTAAATGACTTGAACATCTCTTATCGAGTGGGGTCCGCTGTCCTTGTGACCACCGGATCTCTTTCTAGACGCGCGTTCTGACGTGGTCACGTTCCCACCTGGTTCTTGCGTTCGTTCAAGAGACATTGAACCTGGACATGTTTTCCGTTCCCATCCCCTTGCCTATATATATAGTCGGAGCCTGTTCCGTTGCCCAACGAAATCGGTCCTCATTTTGATCGACGGCCAAATTGGGGTTCCCACTTTCTCGTCCCATCTCCTTCTGTCATCACAGGCAAGAGAACCTGGTGGGATGGCTCCTGCAATTGCGGTACACACCGAAGGCGCCGGAAGGCAAGGCCTAGGTCTGAGGAAGGCGGCGCCTGCGTCGGAGGTGGAGGAGCTGAGGCGGCGGAACGCGGAGCTGGAGCGGGAGGTGAGGGAGCGGCGGGCGAGGGAGGACGATGTGCGGGCGGAGTTGGAGCGGACGAGGGCGCGGCTGCGGGTGGCGGAGGAGGCAGAGGAGAGCCTGTGCGCGCAGCTGGGAGAGCTGGAGGCGGAGGCCGTCACCGACGCCCGTGCCTGCAACCTCCGCATCAAGGAGCTCTCCGACCAGCTCGAGCTCGCACGCCGCGCCATCCTCACCCGATCCTCTTCCTCTCTTTCCTCGTTCTCCGATGGATCGTGATCCCGCTGTTTTGACGAGGAAAGGAGAGAACCCGAAAGATTGTTCTATTTGTCGCCCCCTCCGCATGACATAATGACGCGAGGCTTTCTTCCTTGGTTTCTATCCAACATCCTAATTCCCCCTTTTTCTTTTTATATTATATATAGGTGTAGTGCGAACACAAATATTAAGATTGGATTGAGCTAAGCTGCTGCGGTTTGAGCTTCGAGCCTCTTCTGATTGTGTCAGAATCGGGTTCAATTAAGTACTTGAATTTGACTTCTTTCATGCTGGATCAGTTCAATTTTGTACCATGACACCGCCCGTCCAATTTTGTATGGTATATGGTATGGTATGGTATGGTATGGTGAGCATTAGAGAATGAAGGCATGATATTAATATTTTTAAATATTAAAAACAAGGGGAGGGATGGGGGATTCGACCCTGGGCCTCCAAGAATCTGGGTGGGAGCAGCTTCGCATGGAAGCAAGGAAGATCGAGAGCGACCCCGACGTCGAGCTCTCCTCAGTCGCCAAGCTCGCCTCTAGATTCACTAATTCGTCCTCCGGTCTCTCTAAATCCTCTCTCTCTCTCTCTCTCTCCTTCTTAGTTTCCCTATTTCATTTGAGGTTTGGAGCAAATGAATGAATTCACCGCGATCCCTAGATCGGAAGTCCTTGTTGATCCTCGAATTTTGAATGATTCTTTTTAGGTTTAGTTTGAACGGAATGACTGAAATCCATTGCCAGAGGTTGGACTCGGACTCGATACCTAATCAAAATTTCCAACATTGTCAACTGCTTAGTGCCTTGTGTGTGTTTTCGTTTATGGTATTGGGGGTTGTGTTCCATCGGATCGTTTCCTCCGTTGTGCCTTGCAGATTAGTTGCTTCTTACAGTAACGACGGAATTTGTGGAGTTCCTTTATGATCATATGAACTCAACTTTAACTAGTTTGTTAGATCCTTTGTCCTTCAACTAGACTTCTAGGTTTATTAGGTAATGCCAAATCTCTCATGGACCTATCTTGGTTTCCAATCTTGCTTCATGGTTGATATGGACCCAGCCAACAATGCTAGGAAAACTCTAGGGTGTTTATGATGACGAATTTGAGAAATTCTTTGACGTTTGTGTAGATTGTTGCTTACTTGTGGTAAATATCATTTGTGTGGCAAATAAGTTCAGATCAGTCGTCCTATAGAACTAATCGAGTGCCATTTTTTTCTTTTATAATTAGTTGACTAGAGTTACATAATTTTGATGTGTAGCCAATTGGTTGGCTGACTTGTTAACTAATTTATCACTGTTTAAACAGGCTGAGTCAATTTTGGTGATCAAGTTAGAATTGGACATTCTATTTACCGTTTAGATGATTGTGTTTGCACATCTATCTTAGATATTTGTTTCAATGAAACAATCAAGTTGTGTGCATTTTTTTAGTTGGCGCCTTATAAACAACCTTTTCTCCTTCTTCATAAAGAGTAGGTTAAGGATGACTAGTTGTCCTATCTACGTGTATAAACTGCCAATCAGGAATAGGGGATATCTATTGTTATGTGGTATTTATGGATGGGATATCTTCTGAGAATTGCAGATGATATAGGAGGAAGGAATTTTATGTAAAAAATCATGACAAAAATTCGTAAAATTTGGAGTCTGAAGCCCAATCTTACCAGCCATTAGAATCAAGTTTTAAGCTTTTCTAGCTATGTTTTGGCAAGTCTTGAAGCTCTTGAACAAGTGTGGCGGTTATGGTCTCTATTTTTGAGAAACTCTCAACACCTACTGGTACATATATCATTTTTTTATTTTTTTTGTTTTATTCAATGATATTCGGTGATATAGATTGGTACCTTCTGGTATACCAGTACCATATTTTATTCAAAACTGGTAATGGACCGGTATTTAAACCTTAGTCTGAGGATTGTCTAAGTTTATTTTTTCTTTTACATATAAGCTTTTTTTTTATTTGCATCTAGATTATACTAACTTGTTCTTAGAGCATCAACTTGGAGATAGTTCTATTATGGAATTAGATGTTAGCAATGGGATAATTTCAAAACGATGAATTCATAATGATAGGAGAATAAAGAGTAGTAGAATCAAGGGAGATGGGAAAGATGACAGAGCATAGCATTGGCTCCTTTCACAATTTTGAGCACCTATTTTGTCTAGACACTATAGTTGGCAGCTATCATCAATGTAATAGTAGCAAAATAGTGAAATGTGCCCATGGGCTTGTGAGTTTGATTGTGTTTGGACTTTTGGAATTGGTGCTGCCCCCCATGGTTCTTCTTTTATCTTCACTGCTCTTTCACTTGCTGGATGAAATTAGTCAATTGTAGAATTTTAGGTTGTTTCAATATATTTTTCTCGACTATTGATCAGGTCAATCACCAGCTATCATTGATGCAAGCACTATAGCCTGCGAGAAATTGACTGCTCTGAGGTAGGACCTACACAGTTTTGCCTGGGAGTGGTACCCAAAGAGGAGTGGTCCCCAAAGGTGCCCCTAAATGAGCTGTCATCGATGTACATGGCTGATGTTTGAGGCCAGCCTAGCAAGACCCTGTTAGATGCCTGAGTTCTTAACATGGCTAAGCTCATAGCCTGAAATTGCTCTTCTGCATGACTTATTCTTGGGGTTGCCCTTAGTTCATTCTTCAAGTTTCTGTGCCAAAATAGATGCTTTGCATTCACAAGGCCTGCTACATGCTCCATGATATTGTCAATCGATATGTCTTAACTTAGTTCAGTTATTTATTCATCTAACAGTTATAAAATCATCAGTTATAATTGTTTTGCTGCATTTAGCATGTGTCTGTTATGTGCACAATGATCTAGAAACTGAAAATATGTGATGACAGAGAAAGTATGTGAAGTGCATACGGTTGTGAAGTTCATTTTATGTAGATTTCTTTAAAAGTTATAGCATAAATAAATTGTAATGATGATTTCATCTAATGAAGCATGGGTATGTAACAATGTTTTAGGAGAAGGTTAGGTTTTGGGTTGTGCATTTGGTTGTCAGCCAAATATTTTTTGATAGATAGACATTACTAGATAATGAGAAAAATTTTTCCTTGAATAAGTGGCTTAGTTATCTCATGACTTGCTCATTTGCAAATATCCTAAGAAACATATTTAGATGACAGACATAATTTTATGTACATATTCCTTCTTTCTCCTGCCATTATGTCCTTGACGGTCAACTGAGAGTATCTTTTTTACTGAGAGAAATTGATGGATATTTCAGGTTATGGAGACACTGAATCAACCATTATAGGATCAAGCAGATCATGGAAGTCCATGGAGATGGAAATCCAATCCTTACTTGAGAAGCTACTGGATGTTAATTATGCCATGAGCCGTTGTGCTGCATCGGCAGACCTACGACCTCACTAAACCAAAAACTACCAAGTACAGAGACATGCTTCACCAAATCACACAGGTCATTGTGTTTTGCTTTCACTTTCAAATGTTTTGTAATACTAACCTGGCAGCCCTTTTAAATTAATTTTACAACTGAATCATCACCATAGAGTCCACCAAAATTTGAGGTTTTCTTTTTTTTTCTTGAGCTGTCAATCTAAACCCAACTAAGCTTTTGCAAGAAAATAATGTTTGTTCATGCAGGTATAATATTATCATTTGGACAGAGTAGGACAAAATTGCTGTGAAAATAAAGAGCTAAAAGAAATTTGGCCGCAACTCAACATTGTTACTTTTATGACTCTTTGTAGACCTTGTGAGCTATTATTTACCATTCTGTATGGTTGTACTGTTTAGGGAATATTTTGCTCTAATACTATCTTGTGCATGAGATGACAAGTTCTGTGCCTGACCTTTTATCATTGATTCGTTGATCCGGATAACAAAAAATCGATGCCTGCATAAGGAAGAGGACCTTGGGGCTCGAGATATCGTTGTGTTGCATGCTCCGTTGGTATAGGTCTAATAATTTTCAGTCTATTCTGCATAGAACTTTGTTTGCTGATTAATCATATAAGCAATCAAGGTTTTGCTCAATTATTCGGATGTGTAGTTCTCTTAGTTTATTGCTTCACTTTTCTTGGACTAAAGTTCATTATTTTCTTCCAGAATTGTTTTCCTAGTATCTTAATTCAAGCCGATTGTTGGAGGGTTCTTTGCCAATTCTCTGGAGTCTTTATTCTTTAAATAGCTTTACTTCCCATGATTAAGTTTTATTTTATTTTGCTTATTAAAAGACTACGTTTGTTGATGCAAAGTTCATAACTTCTAGAATTGTGTAGTGTTATTGTACCAATTGCTCTCCTACTGATGTTACTGTTATGAAGATTTTTTTTATGTGTGAAATCAATTATCACATGAAATATCTGGCTCTGATGTATAATGTCTCTGTTTCAGAATATTTCTTCATTCTATAATTAACATTTACAAAGAGGAACACTACATATGTTCATTGCTTGTGGTGCTAATGATTAAAAGTTGGAAGTTAAAAAAAAACATCTTTGTCATCAACATGTCTGTTGTGTTACTTTTTGCATCTTCTTGATGCTTTTTCTTCTTTCTTTGGTCATTCTTTCTGATTTTTTTCCTCAAATTCGGCTTAGGAATTTAAAAGAACTAAAGGGAACTTGGACTCCACAAGTGAGCATGCTGAACTTCTTGACTCAGTGGTTATATCAGTGAATCCAAGATGAGCAATGGTCAAAATTCTATATGACCTATGCTTTTGTAATCAGTTGCTTTGTACAGACATCAGGGACTATGTCACCCAGGGTAAATTTGCTACGAGAGAGAGCAGCAATTCAAGGAAGCATAAGTCATGTAAGATTCTTCTTTGGTGTGACTGGATTTGATCACTAATTTACTCCTAAGATGAATAGTATCTATCACATGTCTAATTTTTTGGCCATATCAACTACTGGATTTTGTCATCACTTGTTAGCAGCTGCTTCAAAAAAAGCAACTCCAAACAACTTGCTTTACTGGATGACATCTTTGAACTTCAACAATGGATTTCCCTCACTGGAGCTGTGTCTCCATGTCCTTCATATATACAAACACAAGTGTTGAAAATTATTATATATTCAGAGTGTTGAAAATGTTTCACTTTTGTTTCTTCATTTCACTTTTTATTTGGAATTTTTCTGAAATACTTGCCTAGAAAATTGAACACTAGAATTCTAGTACCTTGCTCATTAATTTGGAGGGAAATATTTTTAGTATTAAGGTTTTGGATACTGAGGGCAAAGTTTTATATTTTTGGTATCTATTGGTTCTACTTTTGCTCTTGAAGAGACCTTCTAAGATTCTCTATTTCTGCTCTGTTAGCTTATAAAATTTTGAGACTCTACATAAATGCATGCACATATACACATGTACCTGTACAAGTCTAATTACACAGTCCAGTCCAAAATTCAAGCCTTCTCTTTAGTCAAGTTCTATTTCTCTTTATTACTCTTGTACTGGGTTTCATATCCATGTTCAGCTGCAAACTTATTTGATACCCACACATGCTTTGGTGGCATCTAGTAATCAAATTATGGTCACAAGAAGTTGCACTGTCCAGTACTGATATATAAAGAATATTATTAACTCCTTACCTTTTACTCTTTGTTTATTCTGCAAGGAAACTTTAACCCTATCCGGTCTTGTGGTGTGAGAGGAAGCCTGGAAAAGATCCACATAGGACCATATATTGGCATTACCAAACTCAAAGTTTATTTGGCATGAATGAGATTGGGATCATACACATGATATCTAATGTGAGAAACCAATTCTACCATTCTCACTTGCATAATGATGTGTGTATAAAGTTCATATCTCCTATTTTAATGATGAACTGAATAGTCATCTGAGCCACATATAAAGACCGTCCTGCTGTATGCATGCTTATTAAGCATCTATGCTATTTCAATCTATAAATTGTATGATCCTAAAGTTTTTGAACCGACACCAAGGTATGTTATGAACTGACTCATTTTGTTACTTGCATCCAGATTGATGGGGTGATTGGTCAAAGCACAATTGACAAGATCAGTTTTGGGATCACAAGGGATTTTACTCGGCGATGCTCAAGGAAAAGTGAACCAGCTTGGTGACAAATTTCCTGCGATACGAGGCCTTATACGTGTCCAAGCGGCCTCCTGTCTTGAGATACTTGCTGTCATCTTCATGTATGTTTGTTATACTGGTTGCCTAATTCTTTGGTGCTTGCAGGTGCCATGGAAGCGTTCAAAAGATACCATTATCCTCTCTGCAGTCATTGCAGGCTGCACTCTCTTCACAATTGTTTCCTGGCTATCAAAATGTTGGCTACAGATGTTGATCAGAATTGCAAAGTGGACCAATACATATGACATGGCATACCCTAATTTTGTGTGTTGATATTAAAACAGTAGCAGTCTCGATTATTTGCATCTGTTTCAGAACTCTGTCAGCAACCCACTGTACGGTGCTGGAAATAGTTTGCAATGTGAATTAAAAGGTAAAACAGAGAAGTATATTAGCAGTCAACCAGTTTTGTTCTTCGAGCAATCTAACAAATGGGTCGTTAGATTAATCTCTGTGAACTTGTGATTCATGTATTCATTTTATCAATGCCATTCTATCTAAAATCTTTCTTTTGATTATTACTACTGATGCGGGGGGCATCTGTTTAAGCCGTGGCCTCGGGGCCTCGCGGCTTGGTTCGGGGGTCCGGATGTCGGGGATCTCGGGCGACGTCCCTCGGGGTCTCCTGGCGGCCGAGCACGGTGGTTCGGGTCGGGAGGTCGGGTCGGGAGGAAGCTCCGCCGCAGCGCCGGGAAGAGGCGACACCGTCTCGCACCTGCACGCAGGTCGGGCCGGGAGCTCGGCCCGACCCCTCCGACGATCAAGTTAGCGATGTGGAGAGGGTTTTGGAGGAAGAGATGCCTCCGAATGTGTTGTGCTTGTGTTCCTCTCCCCCC